GCTATTGCCTGGGAGCCCAGAGACAGGGAGGCAGGCAGAAATGTCACATACCTTTTTTCCTCTGGTTTATACCCATTTTTAAACAGCAGCTCCTCGCCGTCACGGATGTGAGGCGCTGTCCATTTCTACCTACAAACTACAGTATGCCTGGCTGGTGGCATACGGGGTCAAGTCAGCATCCCAAAGGGCCTCTGATTGTCAGCAGCAGTGCATATCTGAGCCCTTCTCACCTGCACGTGGTCACTCAGCACAGCAAGTGTATGGCTGTGACTGCTATACAGGCAGTCCCCGGGTTACATGCATCCGACTTACATCGGATCCCTACTTACAAACGGGGTGAGGCAACCCCGCACTAGCTGCTTCCCCCCAGCAGACCAGGGAGACGTGGAGCGGCTTTTCTCAGCAGACACCTCAGCTTGAGAATAAAGGACTGAGGGAAGTGAGGTGTTGGAGAATAAAACTGAGCTCTGGAAAATGTTTGGCTAGAGTTTCCCCTACAATATGTACCAGTTCCGACTTACATACAAATTCAACTTAAGAACAAACCTACAGTCCCTATCTTGTACGTAACCCGGGGACTGACTGTACTGACAAGCACAACAGGAATGAAGTTATCACTGAATGAGCACTGAAGAAACCTGAAGCCATGTTTTTAACACTTGAAGCTTAGCTTTTTGACCTTGTGGCAGTTTCTTCCCTCTCCTTCCTGGCCCAGCTTATAACCTGGTCCAACCCAAGTCAGCAGATTGATGTATCATGTATGACTCAAAGTTACAATGAAGGAAATAAGAATTTCTGGACCTCCAATGCATCCTCATTGCTGACTAACAGCCCCACTCTGGAAACCGCTCCATGCAACCATCTTTGAAATGGATTTTTCTCCCTTTACAACTTGCAGCACTGTATTCTGTAAATTCTCAGGGGGTAGCTGTGTTAGTCTGTATCTGAAAAAGCAATGAGCCGTCCTGTGACACCTTAGAGACTAACATATTTACTGGGGCATAAGCGTTCGTGGATAAAACCCACTTCAACAGATGAATAGGAGTGGACGTTACAGAGGCGATAAATACTCCTACCTCTGTAAACTCCACTCTAATTCATCTGATGAAGTGTTTTTATACCTATGAATGCTTACATCCTAATAAATCTGTTAGCCTCTAAGGTGCCACAGGACTAATTTTATTCTCTAAAGGCATCATTCTGCATAAGAATGCAACATTCAGATTGTTTCTATAGGGTCTGCCATTAGATGTGTGCACCCAGAACTAGGAATGTAAAATTCCATTTAATTAGTTAACTGATTAAACAAGTGGGGTAGGATGGGGGCCCATGAAGCTGGAGCAGCCCTTCTCGGCAAGTGGGGTGCTGCTCCAGCCCCCACCGGTTAACCATAACTGGCAAGCCATTAAAGGGTGAGGCTTACCTGTTAACCATTAACATCCCTGTACCTTCCCCTCAGCTCAATCTCCTTTCATGATCTTGTCTTAAAATGGGGACTGAACATTGAACAAGGGCACATTCTCCCTGAAAGCTTAACAGAGGTAACAAAGCCACTCTTTACCTGAACCAAGGCTCTTGAGCCTCCCTAACTTCAGGAAACAGAGTTCAGTCCTAGGAAATTCTGTCCACAGGCCTTTAATTTGGAAACAGAGGTACTGCTTGTGAGGTGTACTGAAATTGCTCAAGTCACAGCCATCCTACATTAGAACCAATAAATCTTCCAGCCTGCTTTTGCTTTCAAAGCCTTCAGCCCACACATATCTATCAAGCATATAACCCCCAGAGTCCTTACCCCTTCTGCCTCCAGCCAAGAAACAGGCAGTACATTGGTTTAGCTGCTTGATTTCATGCTCATGCTATCATAGAATCATAGGATTGGAAGGGTCCTCGAGAGGTCATGGGCCCTCATGGCAGGACCAAATACTGTCTAGACCATCTCTGATAGACATTTATCTGACCTACTCCTAAATATCTCCACAGATTGAGATTCCACAACCTCCCTGGGCAATTTATTCCAGAGATTGACTACCCTGAGAGTTAGGAACTTTTTCCTAATGTCCAACTAAACCTCCCTTGCTACAGTTTAAGCCCAGTGCATCTTGTTCTATCCTCAGAGGCCAAGATGAACAAGTTTTCTCCCTCCTCCTTATGATACCCTTTTAGATACCTGAAAACGGCTATCATGTCTATGCCGTCTATGTCTATGACGGCTATGGACGTCTTCTCTCTGCCTTACACACACCAGGTGTGAAACCAACAGTGCCACCTCTAAAGAGCATACCTCAGACGTGATGCTCTGTGAAGCAAATAAATCATATCTCCTTCCATCTGTATGTGTGTACACACACTAAACCAAACCCCCTTTCCTGTGTGTGTACGTACATACGTTCGTGCGCGCGCACACATGCACACACACACACACACACACACACACACCCCGTTTCTTACCATTGACATTATGGCTCTTAAATCCCAGCTGCCCTTAATATACAGTCCAGAAAATATTTTTGTGCAATTGCTTTAATTAAAAAAAAAAAAGACCCTAAAAGCTAGAGAAATTAATTCCTTATTTTCAACAGCTGCATTCATCATTTATCTGGTCTAGTTTGCAGCCAGAGCCACGAATAAATTAAAAATATAACACCTTAATGTCTGAAACAGCTAAATGGTCATTGAAATACATTTTAGAAAACACCAATTATTTTAAATGAACCACCAAATAGGATTGGCCCTAGTAAATCAGTAAGAGTTGCCATTTTACTTCCTATCCTTGCAACAGGAAGCCTGGTACACGGACTTCCTTCATCACGAACTAAGAGTGATTTAGAACAGGGATGGGCAATAACACAGTGGTTCATCAGGCTTAGCCTCTGGCAAGCTGCTGCCACTATATTTACCTGCATGGCAGCAGCTACCGGTGAACGCAGCTTCCATTGGTCAGGGACCACCGTTCCCAGTCAACAGGAGTGGCAGGAAGCAGCCTGGACTGGGACACTGCCATTCTCAGCCAATGGGAGCTGTGGAAAATAATCCGCAGCCAATGGGAGCTGTGATTGCCAGTACCTGTGGCCATGCCGGTAAATATAGCAGTGA